AGCCAGAGGGATCAGACCCCACTGTTTTGGGATGGGAACGGGAAGGGGCAGCACTGAGAAGCCCCCAGGCCCAGCCACGGGGCTGCCCTGAGATGTGACCACCCCCTCCCACCCAGCCTGGGGGCCCAGGGGGGGGGCTGGGCAGGGGGTGCCACCGGGCCCCCCCACCCTGGGGAAGGCCCCTCCTCACCTTCAGGGCGTCGATGGTGTTCTTGAGGGCGCAGAGCCGAGCTGTCTGCTCCAGGAGCCGGGCCGAGGAACTGCGGGCTGGGGAACGGCACGGGAACGGTGTGGGATGGGATGGGACAGCACCAGGGATGGGGTGGGGTGGGATGGGACAGGGACACAGCACAGGGGTGGTGTGGGATGGGATGGGACAGGGACACAGCACCAGGGATGGCACGGGATATGTGGGACATGGACATGGCGAGGCAGGCATGGCCCCCTCAGGGGGTACAGGGGGGCTTGGGGGAGTTTGAACCCCTCAAATTGGTACAGGGGGGGTTTTGGGGTGGGTACTGGGGGCTTGAGGGGGGTCTCACCTCCTCAGGTTGATCCCAGGGGGGCTTCGGGGAGGTTTTGACCTCAGATTGGTACTGGGGGTTTTTGGGGGGTTGGAATTGCTGGGTTTTGACCTCCTTGGGTTGGTACCGGGGGGGTTTGACCTCTTCAGGTTGTTACCAGGGGGTTTCAGGGGGTTTGGGGTGTTTGATCCCCTCAGGTTGGTGCTGGGGGGATTTGGGGGGTTTTGCCCTGCTCAGGTTGTTACAGTGATGCCCCCAGCCCGTGGCCCAGCCCCCTGTGCCACAGCCCCCCCCATAATTCCCTCGGGAATGCCTGTGTAGGACGTACTGGACTTGTTGTGCCTCATGTCCAGCACCTTGGCGTTGGCGCTGAGCTGGTACAGGGTCTCCAGGAGCTGGGTGGTCTTGCGGAACAGGGTCTGGGTGGGCAGCCCCTCCCCGGGGCGCTCCCGGGGCAGGGCCACCCGCGGCACCTGCAGCGGGGCCAGGCTGGCCAGATCCATCTTCATCTGGGCACCCTGCACGGGGGGAACACCGGGGAAAGGTTTGCCAGGAGCAGCCGGGGGGAAAAACGGGATAAAAACGGAAAACTGGGGGGTAAAACTCCGCCAAAACCAGCAGAGTGTGGATCTCCCAGGGGTGGGAGCAGGATGCCCGTGGACACTCAGGGGAGCCCTGGGACACCCAGGCTCATCCCACATCCCACCTGGACCACATCCCACCCAGACCACATCCCATGATAGCCCTGGACACCCCTCTGAGCCCGGCTCCCCCACCTTGAGCATGTTGTTCTCGTTCTTGAGGTGCTTCAGGGAGAGCTGCAGGGCGTCGATCTGCTGCAGCAGCAGCGGGGAGTCCTTCACCTGCACGGGGCCGGAGCCGCCCCCCGGCACCTGCCCGGCACCCACACCTGCAGGGGAGGGAGGGACGGGCACCAGCGTCACCCGGGGGGGTGGCATCAGGGACACGGCGGCTGCCAGGGGTGCCCAGGCACCGACAGAAACATTCCCAACACGTGGCACTTCCCTGGAGAGGTCCCCGGCACCCCTCACGCCCCCTCAGCATTCCCAGTGCCCCTTCCCGAGGGTGGGGGATGAGCCAGGTGCTCCAGGGACCCAGCTCTCCAGGTGGGAGTCACCCCACTCTGCCCCCACCACAGTCCCACGCTCATCCCTCCCTTCCCAGTCCCCCGGGAGGCACCCGCCAGCAGCTCCCAGGGTAAGGCAGCATTGGAGCAGAACCCGGATCCTTCCCCTGCTCCCAAACCCAGGGATTTGGGCACCCGGGGACACCTTCCCCCCCTCATGCACTGGGTGTGTCTGTACCTCGCTGCTGTTCCTCTGCAGCACAGGGAGAGACAAGAAAAAGCAGGATTAAAGCCCTGGATTGGGTGGGAAAGGAGCTGGGGCTGGAGCAGCTCCCATGCTCCATGGCCCTGTCCGGGGCTCATCCCATTCCCGGCTCTGGGAGCAACATCCCAGCAGCTGGGAGTGGCCCCAGCAGGACCTGGGGGATGGCACTGAGCTCCTGGGCTGCTCCCAGTCCTCTGGGAGTGAGAATGTGCCGGCAGCTTCCCGGGAGCCAGGGCTGGGAATGTGGGGACACGGGAGAGGCTGCGGAGGGACAGGGGCTGCTGCATCCAGAGGATGCTGTATTCCAGAGCTGCTGCATCCAGAGGATGCTGTATTCCAGAGCTGCTGCATCCCAAGGCTGATGCATCCCAAGGCTGCTGCATCCTGCATGCAGAGGATGCTCATCCAGGTGTCACCCATCCCAGATGAGGGCCAAGGCTCAGGCTGCAGCCCCACCAGGCCAGGCTGCTCCATGGCCACCTGGTCATTCCCAAAGGACACCCCAGCTCTCCGTTCCGGAGGCCACACGTTGTCCTGCAGCCAGAGCCCCCCAGACACCAAACGCCAGCTCCTGCTCCTGCTCCAGGTGGGTTTTGTGGACATTTTGAGCAGCAGAGCTCCAGCACCCACCCCTGCCCAGGAGAGCCCCCGCAGGCACAGATCCCATGGGATCATCCTGCCAAAGGGACACCCTGGGCTGGCTCCAGGGATCATCCCATGCAGGGACACCCCGGGTGGCTCCATGGAGGTGCCCCCCTGCCCTGCCTGCCCAGGGCAGCTGCAGGAGCACCATTCCCACACGATCCCTGGAGCCTGTGCCAGGAGATGCCCCGTTCCCATTCCCACTCCGGCCACGCACCCCCGGCGATGCCGGACACGATGGAGGCGACGCCCGAGGCCGGACCCCCCCGGAGCCCCTCGATCGTCCTCTTGGACTGGTTGTTGAGCCGCTGCTTCAGCTCCACCTTCTCCGACTCCAGCTGGTCGATGTCGGCCTGGAGGGCATCCATGGTCTCCTCAAACTCCCTGGGAAGGGCACACGGAGGGATGGCTGAGCCAGGGACGCTGCAGCCCAGGACCCCCTGTCCTGTCCCTCCATGCCTTGTCCCTCTCCAGCTCTCCTGGAGCCCCTTCAGGCCCTGCAAGGGGCTCTCAGCTCTCCCTGGAGCCTTCTCTTCTCCAGGGGAACCCCCCCAGCTCTCCCAGCCTGGCTCCAGAGCAGAGGGGCTCCAGAATCCTGGAGCATCTCCAGGGCCTCCTCTGGACTCTCTCCAGCGGCTCCACATCCCCAGCCCCATCCCACACTCACTTCTCCTTCTTTTTGAGCAGTGTCTGGGTCTCATCCAGCTTCGTCTGGATCTTTTCCACACGATCATCTGCGTCCTTGGATGCGCTGTCCAGCTTCTTCTCCAGGAGGCTGAGCCGCACGTTGGCCTCGCTGAGCTCCTCGCCCTGGAGCAGCAGGGAGGGAATCGGGGAGCTCTGGGAGCTGGGGGAGCCCCAAAATCACCGGCACCCACGGCTGGAGCCCAGGAACAGATCCCAGTCTGACCCTGAGCACCCCAACACATCGTGGGGAGAGGCCAGGGCAGGATCTGGAAGGTGGTACCTCCCTGCCCACAGGAAGAACATCCCCAGGAGATCTGGCTAGGATT